CCTAATAGCGATGCCCTTTGTTACTAGTAGCTTCTTGTTCCTAGTAGTATATTAGCTACTAATAGCGAGGCACTTGCTCCTAGGGATGCGCTTTGTTACTAGTAGCTTCTTGTTCCTAGTAGTAATGCCAGGAGCTACTAGTAGCGATGCACCTTGTTACTAGTAGCTTCTTGTTCCTTGGTTTCTCAACTCTTGCGGTCGAGTTCCGAATACCAAGAGACTCCCGAGTTGATCTGCTGGGCACAGTCGTAGTTGGCTCAGACACAACTCTGATCGCCCGCAGCTAGTCGCAGTTTGTGGCCTGGCTGCTATCGACATGAGACATCAGTTGAAGCCCATGCTACTGCCTTGTTTTCTCTGTTTTTTTCGACCTAGTTGATGAAATGATTGTGGCTCCAACATTCACAGGCAGAGTAAACAGCTTTGAAGTCTTCCTCACCATTCAGGTTGTGGGTGATATCTGCCGGTCAGAGTTTGACAGCCCCAACTGGCTGTGTGTGTGTATGTGCGTGTCAAGATCCTGTACATACCCCTGTTGTTACATCACAATGGCCCTCAATGGATGTTGATCCGCCCAAACATAGGAATGCGTATGTGCGGGCTTTGACCAATCAGTTCAGTAGGGAAATCGACAGTGAATGAGGTTGGTTGAGGGATCCCACTATCTGACTATCCTGCGATCCCATCTGGCATCTCCACCGTTCGCCCACCAGAGCATCCCGCCGAGGTGCGCGATGCTTGTCTCTGCGCGAGTGGCAGTGAGGCGCCTGGTGCCTTCCATGAGGCTTCGGGGTTTGCTTCGAGTTTGGCGATGTGATCCGAGAATTGGTGAATCCATAGATACCAGACAACGCGTCATGAGTTCCGCGCAATTATATGCCCATTCCTGAACATTGGAGTTGCTGAAGGCCTTTGCCTCGAAGCTTCAGCGCATTTGGTAGCACGTCATCTGCCTCTGTTGATCGCATTTTTCAGCTTTTTCAGAAGAAGCTTGGAGATGCAATAGTTCTGCTTGGAGATGCAATAGTTCACTTTTGATAATTGCTTTATTGAAGTTAAGTTTCCCTCCAACCCCACTGGAGCTTCAATCCTCAGACATAAGAAATCAGTTTGCGCATTTTCGAGGCATGGCTGTGGGGACTACATCGGTGAGGAGATCTCGCAGCTGGAGCATGCACTGCAAGCTGCAGACCTGGCACAGAGGTGGAGCCGCTGTTTTTCCGGCCACTGTTTTTGGGACCAACCCCCAGAGAGGGACTAACTTGTTTGTAGCCCGCAGGTGAATTCTGCACTTGATTTGGCAAAGCTGGTGATGAAGCAAAGCTGGTGTTTTGAGGTCTGGACTTGGACAAGAGGCCACTATCGCAGCGCTACTACATGATGTGGGACACTTGCTAGGCTGGACATGTTTCCTCATTGCCACGAAAATCCTGGCACCCTGCGAGAAGTTTGATGAACATGGTGGGACGAAGGTCACTTTGGATCTCAAACAGACCTTGTGGAGGTCTTGTAAGGCAAGCGCAGTGGGTCTGTTTCGGGAGGTCCTTCGATCGGTGAGGCTTTTTCACTGCAGGCATGGACGATCCCTCAAGCGCTCGGATGGAGGATTGCGGGGTGGTGGACCATGAGAAGCTCGGTGGTCAATGGCTGCAGAGCCTCGGTTTCTCCCAGAAGGTGTGCGATTTGGTGGCCCGGCACGTGGATGGTAAGCGTGCCTGATCTGCAGCTACGCGTTTGGGGAGGTGAAGGTGTGTGGGTGTGATAATAGACCAAAACCAGCAAGGGCATGCATTCTGGAGGGATTTCTTTAAAGATTTTGAAGCATTCTTGAAGGCGGCGGAGTTTTTGGGTTCACATCTTTATAATTACCAAGAAGATTTTGCACCATGTCGAGCTGCTTCAAGAGCAGGAGCCAAAGAAAGAGAGTAAAGTAACCAGACAGTGTATCCGTTTACAATCAGCTAGCAGAACTGAACATCTGAAAGACGTGCAAACACAATCAGAGTGACGTGCTTGATTCATGCAGGCTACCTATGTGCCGTGAGGAAAGACTACCACAAGACGCTCAGCGAGGCATCCAAGACCACCTTGAGACATCAAGGTGGCCCCATGACGGCTGAGGCGAGGGATGGCGAGGGAAGCGCAAGGGACCGGAATTGCATTCAGAAGAAAGGAGTATTTTGCATTTCTTTCACTCATGTTGATTCAATATGAATGAACATAGTTATATGATGTTATATGATATATGTTGATCCCATTATGTACCGGCCGTCGTAAGGTTAACACTGCGGAGGTTTGCGTGGCAAAGGGGTATGGCATGGAGGTATGGCAAACAGGGTCGTCAAGAATTTGGACTCGCTGCTGGCCTGTTAAAAGTAGCCTGCATTTATATGCAAAACCTATCTATATGAGACTATATATAATACTATATGATATATGCAGCATGGAATGCTGCTATGCATAAGTTGCGTGTTCAAGGAATTAGTTGCTGATCTGTGTGGTGAGGAGGCCAATGCCTTTGAGAAGGAGGAGCTGCACAAGATCATCGTGGCGATGCGACATTGGGATGAGGCTGCCAAGGTGAAAGGCCCTGACGCTTGAACAGTTAGGAAAAAGTTGGTTGGTGGTTAGGTGGAGTTTGTTAGTTGGAGACTCCTGGCTTGGCTTTTAAGGGTGAGTGGCTGGGTCAGCTGGGAGCTTTTCAGGCAAAGAGGTGCCAAGCCTGGAGACCTATCGAGAGCTCATCGAGAAGAACCTAATTCCTTCACCAGCTTAAGCCGCAGTGCTGCGGCTATGCCTTCTGGCTGCTCTTCACCCAAAGATGGTTTGAGTGGATCTGGGTGATGCAGTTTTGACACCTCACATTATGCTTGGAGCATTGCAAGTCGGGGGAGTCATTGCAAGTCGTTACCCGCAGCTTTTGTGGCTCGTGGGCGAAATCGCCCATGTAGGCTATGAAATCCGAGCTCGAAGGAGCTCGGATTTGGTCACTTCAGACCTTAGCAAAGCAAAACGACAGCAGCAGCGGGCTGGTGCAGGTTGCGAGACAACTTTGTATGCTATGGAAGCATACCAGCAGACTTCGGACATCATCGGAGTAGGGGCTTCCAGCAAAATGAAGGGGTCCTTGGCCCGCCGGGGTGGCTAAGGGCTCCTGGACTCATCATGATCCTCTCGCCAAACCGGGCTGCCAGGCACAGTCTTTCGGTCTTTCTCCCAGAGTCGAACCTTGGAAAGGAGCGCCGCAGCCGTGCTGAGGCGCAAGGGCTCGGCAGGGAAAGGGCCACTGACTACCTTGGGAAGAGACCATGCCTAGAATCAAAGCCTTTGAAGATCATATTTGGATTGGACAAAGCATGACAATACCTATGGTTTGAGATGTTTGAGTCGCCCCCTTCCACATTCAATCGACAATTCGATCAATTTGCACGTAAACAGGAAGGGGGGCTGACCTTGACCATCTCCAGTTTTTGTCCGTTTTCTCACGATGAACCTAGAACAAAGCTGTGCGCAAGCCCCATGGCCCATGGCTGCTCATGCCTCTTGCGAGGTTGCCGTGGATGCTGGATTGATCCGGGTTCATTCAGAGACCTCCATCTTGGAGCAGCTCATGAGCCTCACGTCCAGCAGCTCACACAAGATGGGTCCCTTGGCAAAGGAGAAGTTTGTGATGAGTGCCGAACAGATTGTTCTTTTTACTCCAAGCAACATGTCATGTGCCAGAGCACCGGCTCCGAAGGTGGAGAGGGGTGGCATTCCAGTGCCAGCTCAACGACGGCCAGCCCCTTCTTTGGTGATGCTACTTGTTCACTGAAGCGAGTCACTGCCATTTGAGATGCTCAATTAGATCATTTGAAATCATTTTCACAGCAGTATTGAAGCAGAGCGTGGTAGCACTCAGACTGAGTCCACGATCGCTTCAAAGTCGTGCACTGGTCCGCACCACCCTGGAGCACAAATCTCCGCTCCAACTCTTGTGAAGCGCAGGCATCCTCGCCCCCACCACAGTTTGCCGCATCCATGGTCTGAGTCCCAGCTTGTTTGGCCAAACATAGGCAGCCAGTCTGCTTGAAGGCAAACATGTTTCTACTTATATAGAAGGAAAAACACAAATCGTATGAAAGACGGTCAATTTCTGTGCGATGGGTTGAATGATTGCTCCCCCAAAATGCATGCTGATGGAGAAGAGTTCATTGTGAGAGATCCTGAGCATCTTCCCAATCAAGGAGTGCAGCTCTAACCCATATGGCCAATCCGCTTCCGATTCATTTGCTTGTCGCTGTCGCATGTGAGGCATCTACACGTCATTCAGCCTGGGAGAGCGGAGGGAATGATACACCGCCAGCAGGAGCTTGTCTCAGTCCAGGTAGCAATTTGGTTTCAGATCGTGGCTTACGGCCATTGGGCATCAGATGTTGCGGACTTGTTGCGAGTTAGGGGAGTTGGCTGCGGCCAAGGGGGAGGGCTGTTTGCTTTGACGGATTGCTCAGGTCAGATGCGACATCAAGGCTGGTTGAATCGCAGAGTGCTGTTGAAGTGGTGCCTTGCTGTTGTTTGAATCTTCAAGCAGGTGATCGCACTCGGGACTTGGTCGGAGGGGTCGGGGGTCCCGAGCTTTCCGGGAACAGGGGTGGTGTGGAGAACCCGGGTGTGGACCGATAGGTGTGGGTTCGTAAGTGAGCTACAGATAGCTGGGTTCAACCAGTATTGGAAGGCTTCAGAATAGCAAAGACAGTAAAGGAAACCTTTGATTTTTGCGATTGTACAGCGGGGAATTTACAATCTCTTCATGAGTCCTTATATCCTTCTAGGCAGGTGGAGGAACAAACCCATTGGATGGGTTTTAATCGTAATCCTATTCCAAGGATGATGAACACGGACGATTGGGCTCTTTTTTGCTCCACTGATATCAGGGCCCAGCTCTTGACATTGTGACCTGTACCGCACAATGCAGGCGGACCATGGCACCAACGAGACTCTGCACTCGTGTGACTCAGGCAGCAGTGGTGGATGCTTTGAGTTCAGCCGTTGGGCACGACGTGCGGCACGACGTGCGGCACGATGTGAAAGGACCGGCTTCCGCAGAGGATGGATCCGCGGAATGTTACCTTTGCTTGACTCGTCATTGAAGAGCGTGAACTCTTGGGTCTTGGAGGGTGAAAGGAGGCTCTTGGAGGGTAGAAGTCAACCTCTTTCAAATTTCGCAAACAAAGCGGTGTTTGGGTTGAACAAATCATCAATCGGCCAGGAGCATGCTCGGCAGACGAAAGAAAAGACGAGGCGCAAGAACCAAATCACCACCAACCTAGCAAGCTGATTGATTGGCTAGATTTTGAATGATTTTGCTTGTAGGGAAGTCCCAAGCGAGCACGACGCTCCGGAGTCAACTTCGCATCCAAACCGAGCAGCCGACTTCTGCTCTCCAATCTCATCCTCCTTAGCCCGGCCAAACTTCTTGGAGCCTTAGGCCTTAAAGAAAACGGTCTGTCATCTTTGCTAGTGAGTCAGAGCTGGGCACTTTCACGAGACGAAGAACTCCGATACCCTCATATCGAGCATTGTGATCCAACGGTCAGAGATTCATTTTTTGTCGTTTTAGATGTCAAGAGGACTTGACGACTTGACCACCATCAACCTCAGACTATTGAGGCTCAGGAAGTCCACCTAAGATTAACTAAGATGCTTTGCGCAAAGATTCTGGATGGCAGGCTCCTAGAGAGGAGGAGATCATTGAAGAGGCTTGCTCGCACAACCTGAATGCAATCCAACCTTGTGGAGAGAAATCAACACACCAAAGCCTGGCAAGCCCAGCAGTACAATGTTCACGTAGTTCGGAACTTCATGTGTCCTTATCTACTGTGTCAGCAGTCTGGTCTTTTGTAGACCAGAAGGAGACTTGCAATACACATGCATGTACTCCTAGCTTTGGACTAAATGAGAAATACCAGCGCATCCCCCGTCTGGACACGCCATCTACAGACAATCTATCTCGTCCAGCCGTTCCGTGACGAGGTCACAGAGCGGCCTCTTCCGAAGCCCGCGCCGCGCACCAAGCTGCCCTCGCTGGGCGCCTCGCTCAATGGTGGCAAGGAGCTGGTCGCGAATGGCGAGCGTTCCCCCGATCGTCCGGGAGCACCCGAAGATCACGAGTGTGGAAAGGTAGGCGCCCTTTTGGTGGAGCATCGGCAAACGCCCGCAAGCATCAGCTCAAGTTGGGCCGTTGACTCGTTGACGGAGTTCGTGAAACTGTCGTGACTTTCGAGGTGTCAGTTCAAGGTGCGAGTTCAGCCTGGATGGAGAACGAGTTTAGACCAGTCGCGCAGATGCGTCCAGCTTTCGATTGGGGCTCATAAAGCAGACAAGGACACACAGCGCCCGGAAACTTGAACTTTAGAACCTTGAATCCGCAGACCATCCGTTTGCTAAACTTCTGACTGTATCAGTTCTCTTAGTGAGTGTTGGGATAATGTATGATAATGTTTTTCTTATGGAATGGTGGGGGATGTTTGTGGGAGATGCTTGTTTTGGTGATAGTAATTCGCCGACCCCATGTGATTTGTGCTCCAGGAATTATTGCCTCCACTCCGCGGCGTGGGGTTGGCTGCTCATGACTGGTCATTGAGAGTTCATCAGTGATTGACAGATTGCTGGCGATGTCACAGTGTCCTTAGATTAGAAGAGGCGAAACACATGTAGCTGATAGAGCAAAATGAAACACGTGCAACATTTCTGTATGACACATTGCCCTCTACCAGCTGTTCTTGGTGGCTGTTGAGCTAGATTGCAAGGCTAGGGGGCAGCTTGGGCTCCCGCAGTGCTGCGGTGCCTGCAATTCATATTGCAGAGGAGGAGGAGGAGGAGGTGAACACAGCTGCGCACAATCTTCATGAAAACAGATGGAACCATGATCATTTAGGCCCCACAGGATGGGAACACTGCCAGAAGTAGCTGCTCGATTCCAAATCTACTAAGACTCAGACAAGACTAGACATTATGAGAAACACCACAGCTTTCAACTATTTTGCGGCATTCCCTGGTATGGCTTTCAGCATCTGTCAGCCTTCAGACAACCGCAGGTGTCTTTGGGTGAGCAATCTGGAGGAGCCTCCGGCGATCTATTGGATGAGGCCTTCCAGGGTCCTGAGAGCATAATGTATATGACGAAAGCCAGCCGATAGGCTAGGTGGGCAAAGGAAGTGAATATCAGGGGGTGTGAGGGGGTGGTTGCGAGGTGGTGCCTGGCGGGTGGGTGAACCCAGAGCCTTTGTAGGGGAGAGCGACCGAAAAGCGGGGCCAAAGTGTAGTAAAAATGCATGTTTATAAGGGCCTTGGTGATGCGAGTGATGCCAAACAGGTTTAATAGTATCACAAAGTTGCCAGGGTACCATTTAAGTGGCCTGTCCAATTGTGTGTATGGTTATTCCCCGGCAACCATGGACGCACGGCTGTTATCGTTTTCTGTACTGCTCCGCCGTAGAGACTAGCAGGCATGTTAAAACTGGCAGCAGTGAACGCGAAGAACGCCATCTAAGCAGAGACGGTGGGCCGAAACGCACCGAAGGGAACGGGTTCAACGAACAGGCCGTGTGCGGTGGTGCCCTTGATTGTTTAGACAGTTATGGGGAAGACAAGAAGGCACAAGCAGCTCGGAAGACTGCTCCGTGTCTACGAAGGCTGGCTTTCTCCCTTGTGAGGTATTATATATGCATGAAGAGTGATTTCAGAGGCTCAGGTGAACTGCACTCACAGCAGTTTCCCTTGGCTGTGTCCACACTTTGTCAGGTTGATCGGCAGCTTGCCAGACTGAATCGGCCTGGCAACAGAATAGGCCCTTGCAGAAGCTGCTGTCACTGTTCACCATGACTTTTTGGGAACCCAGGATGGGAACTCATGGACATCAAGCGCTCTTGTGGATTCTTGATTGACTTGCCTGGCATGTTTTGACTAATGATGATACTGACTCCTCCAACAAGAGGGCTATTTTGGTGCCCAGACAACCCTCAGACTAGGGATGAATTACCTTCAGCCTTGTCAACATCCAGGCCGCTTGCTGATGACCAGAATCATTAGTAGTTCATGACCTTGTCCCCAAGTACTGCTATGGTCCAGCTTGGTCTGCCAACTGCATTCCATCCTTTATCAAGTGTGGAGAACACGGCGAAGCAAAGCAAAGCATCTACTCTTTAGGAAAATGTTTATCTCCCAGTATATAGTTCATGGTGGTGTTGGGTGTGCAACTGTTTCATACTGTAACCAGATATCGCCTTAGCAGGCCATATGCCTGCGGCGGTGAGCAGAGAGGGGGATGGCCTTGAGGTGGGCCTCTTGACGGGGTGGAGTGGGGACTGAAGCAGATAACTTACCACGTCGGCGCAGTCACACTGCTGCAAACAAAGGTGAACTGTAAGTGTCATGCGAGCAATTTGTTTCTTGGATCGCTTCCTTGCTTAAAGTGTGATGCCGATGTATCTTGCGGAAGGCCTCTGCCTCTACAAGTGGTGAGGTCCGTTCCTCAAGGGTAGGTGGAATATGCAGCTAATTTGGGATCTTGATTTAGGCCCCTGAGAGAAACTGTTTGAGACAATATCTTCATACAGTACATTTGCACATAACATACTTTTAGCATGCTTTAGCCTGTTTTGTACGAAGAATGATTTGAATGCCACATTTGACATCAAAAAGTCAAGAGGTCGACCCTCCAAATATCAGGTCAGTTATTTTCTTTCAGTCGTGGGATGACAGTCATCGACTTCGGAGGGTAAGGTTGGTCCCTCGTTTTATGGAGATGGTCTTCGCTTTGATACAAGACATGTCCTCGAACCGCGAGTTTCATTCTGTGGAGTGTACAGGTTCATGTCGCATTGGTATTGCTTCCGTAGAGGTTCTGGCCCTTGTAGGTTTGCTGATTCTGGAGAGAATCATTGATACCTTGGCCACGGCGGAGTGCGCTTAACTACCCCTATGTAAAAATCTTGGTTTCATTAGGTTTGGTAAGGTCTGGGTGGTGCGCGGGGTGGTGCGCGGGGTGGTGCGCGGGGCGGTGCGCGGGTTGTTCTCGGCAATTTTGTGGTGCGCGGGGTGGTGCGCGGGATGGTGCGAGAGGGGGAAGATCCGCGGGGAACCGCGGGGATCTGCGAGGAACCGCGGGGAGTTCCAAAACACCCTTTTGCTTAGCCTACATACGAGCAAAAACAAGAGGTAGAATCCGGTTCCCGCGGATCCCCGCGGATCCCCGCGGTTCCCCGCGGATCCCCGCGGCTCCCCGCGGATCCCTGCGCTTCTCCGCGGACAGCCAGCCTATTTTGTAATCAATAGGCTTTTAAGCAGTGGTCAACTGTAACATTGGCCAATGGTGTCCGCGCAAATCCGCGGGGAACCGCGGGGATCCGCGGGGAACCGCGGGGAACCGGATCCTACTTCTACCGCTTAACCCCCGATGTCTTGTCTGCGCACCGCCTCGCACCACTCCGCGCACCACTCTGCGCACCGCAAAACTTAGGACAAACCCCAGGCGTTTTGTTCGCGCACCACCCCGCGCACCACCTCCACACACCCCCAGGGCTCCAAAAGCGCAAAACTAGTGAAGCGCACCAAGCTTGCGTCAATTGATACCCTTTTGATGTTTCTGCTTGGATCAACTCACCACTTCAAGTAACACCCAAAGCCTGCCAAAACAGGCTCTTCTGTTGTCTTCTCCATTGACTCAGTGTATCTCCGAGTTACTTTTTGAAGTGCACGAGGGACACGACGTGTCTGATCTGATGTAGTGCAGAGTGAGGTGATCGTTTGTGATGTAGTGCAACAGTGCGTTGGGTTCTACGATTTACGATGTTGACGACATGTATTGAGAAAGAGGATGAAGAAACCAACATTGTCTCTGGGAAGTATCTCCAATGACAGATCTTATACAAGATATTCATTAAAGTCAGCTCCCATTCACCCATTCTAATCGTAAAACTTAGATTTTCCAAGAAACACTATTCTTTTTCGACTCTTCATCTTGCCCTAAGGTGGGTTCTTCATTGTTAGTATAAAGATGTTTTCTTGGATTTACTTGTAGCGGCGCTGACGCTTCCCAGTGTTTTTACTTCTTTTTGACACATATGTCCACCAGCTAGTTTTCATTCTATAGCTTCTGATGGGGTATCCCAGGGCTGGGGGTCCCGGTTTTACATCTAGAACATGGGGAACCCAACCTGAGCCCCGCTTGAAATCTGTATGGGGATGATATTGAAGTGTCAAGACACACACTGGACCTCAACAAGTAATATTGGACAAAAGGATAGTTTATCCAATCCCAACAGATTGCTTTTTGACACACACACATACATACATACATACATACATACATACATACATACATACATACA